ATTCCTTGTCGGCATACTTCAAAATGTCCTTTCGTTTCTTGGGCGAAGCTGCGCTCAAAATGCGCAGCGCGTAAGCGTTGTCCTTCAACCGTCGCGTCATGATGACGAGTGAGGCCATTGACGTAAAACTGGTCTATTTAGGCACGTAGGCGTAGCTCGTTTGGCCGGGAAAAATGCAGGATCAAAGGCGGTGTTCTTCCGGGCAGTGGGGTTTCAGGTCGATGAACAGGTAGGAATAGGGCTGGCTGGTGGCATCGGCGTAGGCTTCGACCATAAACTTTGTCTGCCCCGGGTACATCTGCTTGGCCAAATGAACAATCTGAGATCGGTCTCTGGGATTTTTGAACAGGACGATGTAGTGACAGTTAAGACTGATGGTCCTGCTCTCTTTCGACTGGTGGAACAAGTTCTGCACGATGTAAATCACAGACAGGTTGGGGTGGTGGGATCCCTAGGTAAACAGTTTAGCAATGTGAGGATCTTTACCGCATTCATGCATCAATCGTCCAAGACCACTGGATGTCGGTGCGTCGGGTCGATGTGCTCTGACCAATCCTCCGGCAGCCCCTCCACAAACTGAACAGCAGGTAGATCGCGAGACAGTTCCTCGTAAGCCGGCTGATACTGACCATAACACCACAAAATGCTCTCAAGAGGCTCCACAAATACATGATGATGATTTCTAATTAATGTACTGACCCACTGAGTCTTGCCGCAACCCGTCGGTCCCGCTACGCAAAACGTGGCAGGGTGTTGAAGTTTTGTGCCCATGGGGGAAAAGTGACTAAGAGGTTAAGCGGGCCGCGGTTTATAGCTTAAGCATGATGACGTCATACCCTAAAACGTCACACCCAATGACGTCACGGAATTCCCCTATAAACGTCACTAACATTCTTAACGGCGCTAGATGCGGGCACGTCCGAAATGACGGCATGAAACAAATCGCTATTTAAGATACTCGATAATTCAATGCCAAAAATTGACGATAAAATAACCAGTAACACCAGAAGTATGATTAACAATATAAATCGAATTAACGGAGGAGAACAATAAGAGCTCGGGGAACGTGTGTTTGCCATGGTGCCTTTCGATCAAATGTGAGCGGGGGTAGTCGAGCCGTTCTTTTTATGAAGGCTTGTGTCCGTACGGTACGGTATTGTAATCATCCCGTATGACCCTCTTGCTGTACACTACCCGATAATCTTTGGTAGCCGACTTGGTCAAGATTTCTTTGGTCTTGCCATTTCTGACGATCTTGTGCGGATCGGATATGACAATCTTTTCGGGGCCCACCCCTTTGACCATATCGACCACGGATTCAAAATTGATCCGCTGCGAATTCCTAAAGTTCGAAGTGAATCCCCTGACCTTGCAGCACGTCTTACCCGTGTCCAATCGGTAGGCGTAATTCTTGGGCCCGCCCGATACGAAGGTCTCTATGTAATTGCCGTCTTTGGGACTTATTTCGTTGGTCAAATCGCCGAGAAAGTCGCCCAAAGGGGGTTTGTACTGTCCCGGCTTATCCAAGTAGATGACGCTGTCGGTATCGTAATACAGGACTGAATTCTGCAACCGTTCGAGGAGCTGTAAAGCCTGAGCTGCGCATGCGCCGTAGTGAATGCGGCGATGACCACGTTCGTTCTGGGGTTAGGACCATCTACGTGAATAAGCCGGGACAGTACAAACCCCCTTTGGGCGACTTTCTCGGCGATTTGACCAACGAAATAAGTCCCAAAGACGGCAATTACATAGAGACCTTCGTATCGGGCGGGCCCAAGAATTACGCCTACCGATTGGACACTATTCGATGAACTCTTCTTGGGATTCAAATCGAACTTCCGCTATTTCGTGATTGATGAAATTAATATCATGGACCACGAGGTGGTCGGCGAGGAGGAATTCGTACAACTTACAAGGATCGCTCACGATTGCGACTTGAGGCATGTTTAGTCTCTGACCAAACTTTCCCCAGAACAAATTGAGCATGAGCTTGGCCAGTGCCCTAAGCCCTGGATTTTTTTCTATTTTGGAAGCGTCCAACCGAATCCCTTCGCGTTGAAAATACCGATCGATGTATTCCGCCTTATCAGTTTCGGTTTATCACCTTGTAACCCAATTCGACGGCCTTTTCCAGTTCAATAGAAACCCACGTACCGTGCAGCGCTCTTTCATCGC